TCTGTCTGGTCTTGGGACAGGGCAAGGGGGGAGAAGCCGACGGGGGTGTGTTGAAGGTGGTGGGAAAGGGAAAGCGTTGGACAACGGGAGAGGAGTCTGAGGAGAGGAGTATCCATCCGTACGGATGGGAGGAGAAGGATGAGAGAAGAGGAGCGAGCCCGAGGACAGCCCAGACCAAGCAGGACAAAACACTCACCAGGATAAGGCAAGATGCAATGAGAGACAGTCACCAAGGCAGTGTGCTGTACGCAGTATTGGTACTGGACGGATCCAGATTAGAGCAGCAAGAAAGTCACTGCTGATGGGATAGGGATTCAATGTTTCGAGGTTGGCGGCTACCTTACTTTTGCTGTCAGAGGTGGGAGTGTGCCCCAGCCGCAGCAAGCTACAAAGAGTGTTGAAGAGAACCTGAAGACGGGATGGGATGTTGGGTTGTCACGTTGTGTGAGTTGAGTTTGAACAACAAAGAAGACAAGAGGGCGGTGGCAGTGGAAGCAGCCGGCCGTGGCAGTGAGCGATATCGAGGCAAAGCACGATTGACTGGAGATTTCAAGAGATTGATTATAGTGGATTGGGAGAAGATGGCGGGTATTGCCAACGATGGATGATGGATAGGTACAGAGAAAGCACACAACGGCTAGGTAGGTAAGGTACAAACACAAAGTGACGAACAAGCAATAGAAGCCAAGGCAACGGAAGGCAAAGGTTTGGCAAGATACGAGGCGAGTGAGGTGAGGATGAGGCAAGAAGCGCTGAAAACCAAGGTACCTTTGGTTAGGTAATGTAAGGTAAGGTACCTTGCTCCCCCGACGTAGGTAGAGAGCGGTAGAGAGGTACTTACACAGATAACCAGGCGCGGGTTTGGGAAGGAGGGGAAGCAGAGGGGACCATATGGGTGGCACGTACCGGTGAGCGGTCTGCGATGCGATGCGATGCGCTGCAGTGCAGTGCGTCGCGCGGGCAGCAAGGAGCTCCTGGCTGCAACAGTTTCGGCGTCAACGTGCTTTACCTTGTAACGACCTATTGACCAGTGATCCCAATCCAATGGGAAAGCGGCGGCAAAGAGGGCAAAGAGTTACAGGTTCGCAATATCTGAGTTGGGGGGTCCTAGGTAGAGTTGCCAATGGAGAATGGAAGCAATGCGTCGCGACCAGACGAAGACTGACGGACTCATTACTGGACGGTAGTAGACCAACGTAAGTTTGGCATAGCAGATGATTGATTTGATTGACTGGATGGATCTGATGGTGTGCAAGGTGAGGCGAGAAGGATGAGACCAGCCGGGCGCGTGTGGGAGGTCACTGGCGGTTCACAGGCCCAAGGGAGAGAACTTGAGGCTTGCACGAAGTACCTTAGGTAAGGCACCGTGCAAGGTACCAGTGGACGCTGCACTGCGTTTGAAGGTGTTTGAAGGCGCGGGATGGATTTGGGACTTGGGAAGGAGGACAGACTGGATTGGGTGGTCAAGATCCGGCAGGCGGGCACGGCGCAGGCCAGTCAGCGGCGGAATTCTTCGGGGGGTGGACGGTGGACGGTAGGTAAGATGTGGGTTCTGAATTTCTGGTGGTCAATATTGGTCGGGTCCCGTCTGAAGACGAAGATGAAGATGCGAGCGAGATGGAGTATCTTGTCCTTCCATTGTAGGTGTTAACCTTTGAAATCACGCGGAGATTGTCTGCCGACAGACACTAAGGTAGATGGTCGGCGATGATGTAGGAGGTGCCTTCCCACGCTTGCTTCCTTCCTTCCTTGGAGGCGGAAAGCGAGTGAAGGAAACGGGAGGCAAGAGCAAGTTCTTACTGTCAAGGAAAGAGAGGCTGGTGTTGGGTCCCGGACTGGGTCTGGATCTGGATCTGTCTGGATGGATGGATCCAATACCTACCGATACTTGTGGTGGGCGGCGGTGTGGGTGGTCCGTGTTGACCTCTCACCTCCGTCGTCGGTGGTTGGTGCTGCGATTGGCGCTTTGCTGTCGGCGGGTTTTTCTGACGGGCCACTGGCAGATGAGGTACTCAGAGGTACGTGCAACAAACACCAACCACTAAGAGCGGCTCATGACGATGCCAATGTCGTACCTCGAGGAATGAACCGAACTCGACCTGGACTCTGCCTGGGATCGTCACGGGAATGAGACGTTGATAGGGAAACAAGAAAACTGTTCAACCTTTACGGACACCTAGGTAGCTAAGCGATGGCGCCGCTACTTTAGAACCAGAACTTCACTCTAGAAACGCGGTGACCTTGACTAGGGATGCTATCCCAAGAAACCAACCCAGACGAATGGTGATGCCTGAACAATTGCGCAAATGTGTCAAGCGCTAAACAAACGTCAAATCCATGGCGCATCGTGTTACCTACTTGATGAGATTGGGTGCCGCTGGGACCTGCTCACTATCATGTCGACTCGACACGACTCCTCTCATCCGATTAGTCGTTAAGGTATGACGATGACGATATCTCCAACATGGAGGCGCGTATGCACCGATCTGATGTATACGAAAACTCTACTGGTCCATTCACGATGTTAACCAGGAGTTCTAGCCACCATTTCATATCACGGTCACAACGGGGCAATGCAGAAGTCACTCATCAACTCTAATATCCGCTCGCTTTGTCAAAAGCTCCATCCATCTCTTTCATGGCTTGAACAGTGAGGTAAGGTAAGCTCGGAAGGGAAATCAAGGTAGGTATGTACCTCGAATGTCACCACTGACGGTTCGTGATGAGCCAGAGCTAAAAAGTAGCGCGCACAGGGAGCTCTCGCGGCATCCCAGGGGAGCCTTGGTTAATCCCTGAGGGCCCCGTCAATGTCCAATATTCAATAATCGCACCGGCCGACCGTCCATTTTCTCACTTTGCAATTTGGATCATCGCATCGGCCATCTTTCCCACCTTGGGACTGTTCAGAAGTAAATCATCAGAAAATCAGGTCAGTCCGGCCTATTGCACCGTCAGGGACGGATACGGATACAGCGGGCCCCCTTTCCTTCCCTCACGAGCAACTTCTTGCCGTTCTCCTCGATGGACGCGTGCTTTCCTGAAGAAACGGAAGGCTCTCTCATTTCAACGTCACCTCACTGAACAGGCAATAGGAAACTGAAAGGGAAGGAGACACAGTCAAGGGGTGGAAGGGCCTTCGACTGTAAAAGTGGACACATACTCTCAAAACGGCTTAGCCCCGGCCCGTCCATCGAACTGGGAGGCTTTGCGAAACTTGCCAGGGGCCGGGCCACGATATCTGTCAATCGCGGCAGCCTCTAGGAATCCAGTTGGCCACTGCCAACCTGGAGACAACTCTCCTGCCCCCCCCCCCCCCCCCCCCCCCCCCGCCCGCCACCAACGGGGGGGCTTTGCGAAACTTGCCAGGGGCCGGGCCACGATATCTGTCAATCGCGGCAGCCTCTAGGAACCCAGTTGGCCCCCCCCCACCTGGGAAAAACCCCCCCCCCCCCCCCCCCCCCCACCACCAAAGGTCTTTGCTACAGACTACGGATACTGAACCACGGGGGTAGGTCGCTCCCAAGACGCGACCTGAGGTACCTACGCAGGCGTTGTTTCCGTTTCCTTTGTGACGATGAGTCGGGTCACGCCTCCTTTGTTTCCTGTTAATCTCCATCTAACCGTCTCCATCACCAGTCTCGTCTCGCCTTTCTGCCGCGCTGTGGCTAAAGTATTCCACAATCCACACACACTCACTCACACACTAATACGCAGTACGGAGTACGGGATACACACACTCACACATGCAAGAGAAACGTCCGTCCCCTTCGCCGCCCGCCCGCCCGCTCGCTCGCCCCAGAATGAGAGTTCAGGCGCCACTTGACGCACGTCTTGTAACAAACTTCTGCCTCTGATGGAACACTTGAAGGAACGTTTTGAAGCTCCTTCTTTTCGCCTTCCAACCCGTCCACCCGACCTTGCCGACTCGAACTCTCACAAGGAGTACCCGGCTCTGGCGCTGATCCATCTAACTGGACATGCGCATTCTCACTCACATCCACATCTTCAAATCCATATTGTCATGTCACACGCTACAGATTATGGAGTATCCGTATTACTGCTCCGCGATATTGAGATTGACGAGTTCGAGGCGAAAAGGCGCCAAGTCTGATTCGCCGAGATTGAACGGCCTAGCGCTGGCATTGAATTCGGCGACCTATTAGTCCACATCATCTACCCTCGCCCTGACGTCAAAGGCCACAGATATTGAGCCGTCTTAAATCACCATCCTCGAGGGCTTCTACATTGAGGAAATGTCCACTTGCCAAGTGACTCGCCGTTCGACGTTCCAACAGACCCACTGGCATAGGCCTTTCAGGACCATCAGACCAGAGCTATCCATATGTTCTACACTGACTGACTTTTTCTGATCTCTATCACACTAACCCGTCCTATCTCTTCCTTGTCAGACACCTCCTGTCAAGTCAAGGAAACACGGGTCAGATCATTGACTTCCTTGGCGACGAGTACTTTCAACCCATCAACTCTTGCGTTGCGGCCATTCTTAATATGCTGAAGAAGAGACCCTCCGGACCTTCAACCCGGCAAGGCATATAAGTCGCTGGCTCTTGAAGAACATTCGTCGAAACGCTCGACAAGTGTCGCTTGTTTCCCGTCACAAACCCGGTCCAATCCGCCGCACGTCGCACAGATCGCTTCTTCACATGTAACCGTACCCGTTTCCCCATCGTGCCCGGTTACGCTCTCTAGCACACGGACGCCATCACATCACCTTGTCAGATAGCTTGACGCACGGGATCGCCGGCAAGGGCGAGCTGGGTCTGTCTTCACCTCACCCAGTCGCAGGTGAGGCTGTGAGCTTCAAGATGCCAGTCGACTGTATCTGTTCCTTGGATCCGGTTTGAGACTTGGAATGCAACACGACCTTTTCCCTCTCAAGAGCCTAGAGGAACATGGCCTCGTCTCGTTTGATATGGGGTTAACAACCAGTAAGACAACCATGGACTGCTGCACATGCTAGTCTTCCAAAAGGTTACGGACTAGTTCGCAACAAGCTGCGAGAACTGGCCTGCTACATCCCTCACCATGTCTTCCCCGCTTGCAAACTTACGGCCAAGCAGTCTTTCGCCCTCGGAAGCATCCGTCGGTACGCTGATAGTCGGTTGGCTGCCGTCCGCGCTATAGACGCCATCCGCAAACGCCTGGGGAAAGTTCTCCATCGCGATAGCCCTGGCTTCCTCTATGGCTACATGCCTGCCCAAGAGGAAACTCTGCTTGCCGGATACCGATGGGGACAATGCATTTACATGTGCCGCAGCAACGTCGTCGACGGAGATGAAGCTGGAGAGGATGGGCGTGTCGCTCTTTCTGCCTCGTAAGTACTCGAGCAGCACGCTGTTTGACCCCGAAAGGAGCGACTCGGCTGTCGTCGATAGCTCGTCGCGGCCCCAGATCCACGCCGGGATGACGGAGATGAGGTCGAAGTTGGTACTTGTAGCGTGCTCCTTCACCCAGGCCTCCGAAGCACTCAGGGCGGCGATTTTGCTCGCGCGATAGGCTCCGAATCCGGATCCGAACGGGGCGACCGGTGTCGCCACCCGGGATTCTCCATCAATGGCCGGCCGGTCTAGGCCCTGGCCCATGAAGCACTCCATCGGAATGACGGCCACGATCGAGCTCGTGACGACTACGCGCGTGAGGGTGTTTGTCGCGTGACGTTTGGCGCTCTCGAGGAGACCGAGGACGCCGGCGACGGCGGGTTTGACGTACACCTCCTCTTCCGTTCCGACGCGCTCGTCTTTGCCGAAGGTGGGCACGGGGGACGCGCAGTGAATGATGTACGTCACGCCCTGGACGGCCTCGTCGTATGCGCCTGGGTGGGAGATGTCGGGTACAATTGTCCAGGAGAGCTGGTCTTTTGATGGGTTGTTGCTTTTGATGCTCGGCGCCGCTAGGATCTTGTCGATGCCGGCTCTGGATCTCACAGCGCAGCGGACGCGGAAGCCGGCTTCGAGGGCGGTGATGAGGGTTTTGTAGCCTACGAAGCCTGTTGCGCCGGTTAAGAGGATGAGGTTGTCCGTCATAGTGTGCGTTTGGTTGTTGGGCGCTATGATGTGAGGTGATTGTTAGGTGGATTCTAGTTGGTGATGTAGTTCATCGCAGGCCGCCTTCATTGCCTTCGGCGACGGATTCACGTTGATCTTATATCTCTCTTATCTCGCGATGTTTGGAGAGATGACCTCCGCAATCTAGACAATCTATAAATGTTCTCCACCTCGGTAGACAGGCTGAATGCAAGGTCGGAAGTTCCGTGATAGAGCGGGTGAGCATTATCCAGACACCAGTCGGGATTTGGAAGGCCTAGTTCGAGCAGACCCTGGACTGCCAAAGGACGATCATCGACCTCAGTATTCTGCCTCAATGACAATCGAGATTGAAGGCTCCCGTAATGATCCGCAGATAACATGTGAGGGTTGAACAGGTAAAGCAGGCCCTGCACTCTGACTCTCTAGGATACATAATGCAGCACTTCATCGAAAACATCGATTAGGTCCTTGGGAGCAGATGCCTCCTTGCAGTGAAGCAACCCTGGTTACCAGAGCATAGGCGAGGGCGTGTATGATCAAGCCCGCCGATGCTTCTACACTAGGAATAAAAGGGACATCTGTACTCGTGGTCCGAAGGTAAGACAACCGTCGTTGGTTTGGATTCCCAGATCTTACCGTTCGCAGGCAAAAGGAAGAAAGAAATCCGTTTGGTGGGGATGAATGAAAGCTCTCCTACTCGTTCGTGAGCCTGTACGACATATGCTGATCACGGAGGTCATAATAGCATTCAAATAATGCCTCGCACTTTTGTCAGTATATTCTTGGATGAACATTTGAGCTATGACTGGTGGTAATTTGAGAGCGTTGGTTGGGGTTAATAAAGAGCGTGAGCTGGTAGTTATCTTGTTATGAGATATTAGGAAACGATGCCCAAAGTATTGACTCTAGATAGAGATTTGTCGTCACATAACGTCCCTGGTACCAACATCTAATATTCAATGACTTCTATGTACTATCTCCATCCTTTGTTAATGAAAAATCTCAATTCCTACCCAAGCAAGTGCCTTGATGTGGATGAACACTTTGCTATGGTGTCATATTGTACCTAGTGTCGATTCTACAAGGAGGGAAATAGTTCCAGGCTCTTACTCTAGCTCCCGCCGCCATTGCAACTCGGTATCAGATTGGTGATGGAAGCTAGTCTAAGCTTTTCTTAAATGAAAAAAAGGGCGTTCACTGTTTCGAGAAGGGCGCGTATTGATAGACTTATCCCGAGATTATTCATCGAGGAAGCTATAAGTAATAGAGAAGCTGAGGAGAGAAAAGAGAGAACTATAGATTGCCCGAGGTAAGATAATTGAATACGAGCTCTGCCCAGAGAACAGACACCCGCCGAACCATCTTATATCAGAAGACCCGAGAAGCGAGAGTTGCTGCTCAAGGTCGTTACTCGATGGATGGCTTGCTAGGGACACCACGAGAGAAGGCCCTGGTGAGGACGGCCACACTGAAGGCTCCAGAGGAAAGCAGAGACAGATGCCAGGCAGACAAGCATCCCTCAGGAATGCATACAACCATAACGATCGGACCTCGGCTGAGGGCAAAGCCGGGAGGAGACCAAGAACGCTGTTGCCAATCAAGGGGACCATCGAGTATGATATTCAACCTTTCAGTATTGGTGAGACCCTGCGAGACACAACAGTGAGCATGACGGTGTTGCAGCTCCTATTAATCAGTCCCACGGCGAGGGCCGAGGCAGAATTTCCCATGCAAGTTGATTTTTACAAAGCCGTCAAGACAAAGAAGAAGGAAATGGCATACGCCGCGGATTCAGGCGCCGTGGAGATCATGGGCTCTTAGGGATGGAATTGCCTTATATAGGAGACCAAAAGTCAACACTCGTGTGGACATGACCTGCGAGAATCAATGCTCGTTTTTGAAACCCTCAAGTGGCACGACTCGTCGATGAGATTAATTTTTGGCCGTCTTTCCTGTGGACAGTGTAGCTGTAGGAACCCCCGTGTCCCGTTGAAGAACCGGCGAAGTGGGGCCGATATACCGGATATCTAAAATGGTCTGTGCACCAATCTGCCTTTTTGATGACATCCGCCGCACCTCAGTAGGCGCGTCGAGAGTCGCGTCTTCCCAAGGTAAAGCTCCGAGACAGTGGGGGGCACTTTGACGCCGCGCCCACCTCATATCACCGTCGACAAACTCCACACCACCCGTGGTCACTTCGATCGCTTTTGCGACAGATTAACGTCGGCATACTGCAAGCCCGTCCGGCGACTTGATTGTCTCGCGACAGGACGATCACGTCCCAACCATCACCACGTCCTCCCAACGCAGATCCATACCAACACCCTGAGCTTTCCGAGAGCACAAACACCACAACCACACCGGCGCACAGCGACCCCGTCGCAAGCCAAACCCACAAGATGTCCTCCTCACCAACATTCACAACCCCCCTCAACCCGCGCCTCGCAGCAGCCGCCGGCGCAGAAGACGACGACCCCCTCTTCTCTTCCGCCCTCGACACCGTAACCCCGAACCGCGGCGCCCTCAGCCTCGACCCCCCCTCCAGCCGCGCCTCCCTCCTCCCACGCACGCCCTCCAACAACAACAGCAACAACCCGCTACGCTCCTCCCTACGCAGCTCAGCCGGCGGCTACCGAGGCCTCTCCGCCTCGGGCCGCCGCTCCCTCGCCGCGACGCCCCACGCCCGCGCAGCATACCGCACAATCGACCAGCGTCGCGCCGCTGCGCTGACGCCCGGCGGGAACAAACGCCGCGAGAGCTTCCGGCCGCGGAGGGAGTCGCTGCACGATGTCCTGCGCGGGTTGAGTCGCGTGGTGAAGCACACCACGCAGCCCATCTCGTCGTCCTCGTCGCCCAGCGATGTCGGATCAAGAGCAACGGGGCCGAGCGCGAGTTTGCCGATACGGACGGTGAATCGGAGGGGCACGGTGTACGATGACGACGACGACGATGACGAACTTCCGATAGATAGGCCGCGGTTGTCGTTACCGCTCGACGTTGAGGACGACGACGAGGACGAGCTTGTTGCGCCTGAGTTGTCGCAGATTGATGAGAATGCGACGATTGAGTTCCCGCGGCGGGCATATGTGGATCAGCCGTCGCGCATGTCGTTGGGGAGCGCGAGGTTGAGCGAGTTTAGAAATTACGGGGGCCTCGACGACGACGATGATGATCGCGGGGAAGGGTTCTTTCCTGCGTTTGAGGTTGGGGCGTTGGACGAGGAGGGGAGGGAGCCGGAGGATACGTTGGACAGGTGAGTTTTGCGGCTATATCTTAGCGGTGGCGAGGGCTCATTACTGACGGAGTGGGAACAACAGAGTTGAGGAGGAAGACTTGAGGCGGCAGACTTTGGCTTCAGCGCGGGACAGCGATTTCGGGTTCGAGGTGCCTGTTGACGCGGATAACCAGACGACATTCATGATGGCGGTGGATGGGCAGAGCTCGCCGGCACGACCGCTGCCCGAAATCACAGACGAACAGCCGTCGCTTAACATTGCGCCGGTAGACGACGAGCCAGCGGCCCCGCTGGACGAGGACCTGGGTTTCGGCAACTCGTACTACGACATGCGCAGCTCGACGCCCATCGAACCCACCGAAGCGACGCAAGGAGACCTGGACGGACAGACGGAGGTAAGCGCCGCGCAGCAGGAGCAAGAGCAGAGGCCGCGCAAGACGAAGCGCGGCGTAAAGTTGTCAAAGTACAACGTGGAGTACCCGTCTCTGCCGCCCGCTGTGGTGAAGCGGCTGGCCAACACATTTGCCAAGTCGAGCGGCATCGGCAAGACCAAGATTAGCCCGGACACGCTGGCCGAGATTCAGAGGGCGTCGGACTGGTTTTTTGAGCAGCTGGGCGACGATTTGTCTGCGTACGCGAAGCATGCCAAGCGCAAGACTATTGATGAGAGTGACATGCTCACTCTCATGCGAAGGTATGTCTTTTCTGGTTTTGAAGTTCTCGCTATTCGAACTTTGCAGGCTCCAATTCAGGGGTATCGACAGTCTTTTGAGGGGAAGGGGGTTTCCCTTTTTATATCCACAAGCTTTTTGTTCTTTTGGTACAAATACAATGGTGTCTAATATCCTTACAGACAGCGCCAGACTAGCTCGACGACGACCCCCTTTTCACTGGCACACAGACACCTGCCCCGAGAGCTGTTGCAGGAGTTGAGGATGCCCAAGCCGCTGCCACCGGCGGAGCCGAGGAAGAAGCGCCGTCGCGTGACCGACGGCGGACAGGAGGAAGTGACTTGAAGAGGTCGACTTGCTCCCACTACGACTGCGATGTTGGTCCCTCCAATGAGGGAAAACCGAGCAAATCCTTACCAATGCTTGTTCATGCGCACCTTTCGGGCGGTGTCGGTTGGGGGTTTCTTTACGACCATCCACAACATGATTGAGGTGGCGAATGCGAGACCGTACCTGTCGGATGTCAGTACCGACTGTGGTAGAGGCGTCACGGAGGGATGAATGATATACGAAGCAGGGACTGGTCGGACTTACCATGTGAAGATGTACTGGGCATGGTTGTTCCGCAGATTCACCTCCGCGGCTCTGCCAATAGGGATACCCTTAGACTTGAGGTCCACGATGCGGAAGAACTCGTGCTCTATGAAGAAAGTCAGTATGAGCTTTATATCTTGTAGAGCAAGCCCCCAAGAAGGCAGCTCAGATTCCAGGGAAACAAGGAAACAGGCCACAACATACCTATAGTAGCCTCAATCCAAACAGGCTGACTCCCCGTCAGCTGCGCCATCTGGTGCACATCAGGAAAGAAAAACTCCCAGCGATCAGGTCTATTCTCAGGCGTGAACATGTTCTTCTTCCACGGCTCCCGCAGCAACCCCTCAACCGTGACCTCCCCCCTGGGCAGCGCGCCAGGCCTCCGCCGCTGATCCGCCATCTCCTTGCTGATCCACCCGCGATTCACCAGCACCGTCGTGCCCTCCCCCTCCCTCTCGAGCGGCGTCACGACCATGTACCCCTGCTCGCCCTCCCAC